AAGAGTCTTGAACATACCATGGACCACCAAGAAAACAAATGGGTCTACCATGGAGAGGGTGAAACCAAGTTTCTACTTGGAGGCTAGGATTTTGAAGCTCCATCTCAAATACTTTGGGCATGTGGCCAGGAGAGACTGGTCTTTGGAGAACACCATTATGCTCAGAAGGGTGGAAGGACAGTGCAGGAAAGAAAGACCCCAGGTGAAATGTATTGATATAGTAACTGGGGCAATGGGGGTAGGTATGATGGAGTCAGTGGGACTGGCCCAGAATCGGGGAGGCTTCAGAGGTGTTGTACATAGAGTCACTATGAGTCACAGGCACATAACAACAACAATAACATGTTAATCCATCTTAACTAGGTGGATTGACACAATGACTGCCACAATGGGCCTTAGTGTGTCCAGAAGTGTGAGGATAGGACAGGGTTCAGATCTGTTGATAATAGGATCACCATGTGTCATACTCAACTCCACATGCCTAAAAGCAATAAAATGTTAATAAGTAGGCAGTGAGTCTCTAAAAAAAAATAATAAAATGTCCATTTTTATTTCACTTGGTGCTATTGTGATTATAAGATTGAAACCAAAGAATTCCATTTTTCTGACCTTCTGACTCTACTCAAATATATCCCTTTGGAAATAGCAAATAATCTGATAATGTTTACCCCTAAACATGGTTTTATGACCCACTTATGAGGAGATAAAACAGGGAGTGCTAATATAAAGGAAGGTGGTCCTGGCCCTTCAAACTGCTCTATCTGATGTAGAATGGATAAATCCCTACTCTTGCCTTTGTTTGGGGCTGACACCTGAGCCTTAGCCAGCTTTCACCAAAACACACATTTTACCTAAAGAATATTTGCTAGTGTTTCTTCAGGACTTGAGTTCAGATCTTTCACTGATGTCACCCATCTTATTCATTGGAGTTATTTGTGCCTTTTGTTAGATTTACCAGGAGCTTGTTAATTTTATTAATCTTGTCAAGGAAGCACTTTACTCTTGTTAATTCGATTTTCTGTTTGCATTCTACAGTTTGATTTTTGTGACCTTGATTTTTTTTTTTATTTTATTAATTTTTGTGTGTGTGTGTACTGTCAAATTGGATCTCACTGGTACTGGAAGAGATTGACCCTCCTTCTCCAGCAGAGCATCTGGTGGATTCAAACTGTGTACCTCTGGGATTGTAGTGCAGCTTCGACCTCGATTTTTTT